CTGCCTGGGCTGGTCCCAGCTCTGCTGACCCCACTGTCCTTTCTGTCCCCACAGGGTGTGATGCAGGGCACCATTCCCTACCTTGGCACCTTCCTCACGGACCTGGTGATGCTGGACACGGCCATGAAGGATTTCCTGGATGTATGTACCTCCTCGCTGTCCTCCCTTTCCTCCCAGAGCGTGGGCTGATAAAAGGAAGGCTGGTCCCCCCTGTGTCCTGTATCCCACACTACATCCTGTATCCCACTCTGCACATCCTGTATCCCACACTGTACATCCTGTATCCCATATCCAACTCTGCCCATCCACCTCTGTCCCAAGGAAATGGGCTAGTTTTGCTCAGCAGGGTTACTCACACTGCAGTGGCAGCAAGGCAGAGATAGACAGGGGAGGGAGCAATACTCTTCTGCCTGCTCCATGCTGACCTTCCTCTCTTTCTTTTCCAGGGTGGGCTGATCAACTTTGAGAAGAGAAGGAAGGTGAGAGCTTTGCCCTGGCAGCTGCACAGCGGGGCTGACCTGGTGCAATCCCAGGCTGTGCCAGCCACTTTGTGCTCGATCCCTCTCCTTTTTTTCCTTTGTGTTCTTCAGTTTTGGGGGAGGGGATTCTGGTCTCATGGCTTCCATTTGCTGCAGGAGTTCGAAGTCATCGCTCAGATCAAGCTGCTCCAGTCAGCCTGCAACAACTACAGCTTCACACAGGAGGACCAGTTTGTGGAGTGGTTCCACAGCCTGGAGCGGCTCAGCGAGGCCGAGAGGTGAGTGAGAGGGGTCTGGGCCGTGCTGGTGCCTCGGGAGGTCCCACCACTCATTTCCTCTGACAGCAGCTCCTGCTCCCCTCTCTGCTCTGCCTCCCTCACACTTGGTGGCAGCACAGGGAGCTCAAACCCTCCTCTCTCCCCTCCCAGCTATGGGCTGTCGTGTGAGATTGAGCCACTGTCAGAGTCAGCCAGCAACACGTTGAAGGCCAAGAAAAACACGGGCATCATCAAGAGATGGAGCGAGTGAGTCCCCGGCGGGAGGTGGGGGCCAGCATGGGGTGTCTGTGGCTGGACATTGCAGGGGACCAGGCAGGCATGGCCACTGTCCTGCCAGCCAAATGCACCCTCACCCTGCTCCCTTCTCACCTGCCCCACCTCTCTCCTGGCAGCCGGCAGCCACCAAGCACGGAGCCCTGTGCCAGCGGCAGCTCCCACTCGAAATCCTTCGACCAGCTCAAGTGTGGGCAGTACCTGTGCAGTGGGGACGCCACTGACTCAGTGAGTGTCACCTCCGCTGGCTCCAGCAGCTCTGACGTGGAGGAGATCAACATCAGCTTCATCCCCGAGTCCCCCGACTGCCAGGAGAAGAAGGTACGTGGCAGCTCACAGGGTCCAGGGGTCCTAGAGCCACTGTGGCCATCGTGTGGGGACTGTCCCACCTCTGCCCCGGCGCTGGGGCGAGCAGGCGGGGGGCCCGGGGGCTGCTCGGGAGGCCCCTGCCCTTGGCTGCTCTGGCAGCATGGCAAGGCTCTCGTGCCTCCAGTGGCTGTAGTTGTGTCGGTCCCCCGTTGTCACAGGTCAGTGAGATCCCTCTGGCCTCCCTCCCCCAGCGCTGGTACGCCCCGTCTGTGGCCGATGGAGAAGCTAAACCCACTGTGTCCTCCGCATCCCCTCTCCTCCCTGCCCTCCAGTTCTGGGAATCCACCTCCCTCTCTTCCCTGGACACGTCAGGCATCGGCTCAGGCTCCAGCAGTGCCTCCTCCTCCTCCGTCTCCTCCACGCCGGTGACGGCCTCCCGCACACACAAGCGCTCGGTCTCCGGCATCTCCAGCTACTCCTCACTCTCGCTGCCCCTCTACAACCAGCAGGTCGACGACTGTTGCATCATCCGGGTCAGCCTGGCTGTGGACAACGGCAACATGTACAAGAGCATCCTGGTTAGTAACCTCCCCAGGGAGGGGTGGGTGGCTTGTCACGCTTGGATATGGGCATGGCACGTTTTGGGAGGAGGGGGAGGCTTTAGCAGGGTTCTGAGCTCACAGCACTCTGTGCTCACAGGTGACAAGCCAGGACAAGACCCCCGTGGTTATTCGCAAGGCCATGGCCAAACACAACCTGGATGGGGACCGGCCTGAAGACTATGAGCTTGTCCAGATCATCTCGGAGGAGAGAGGTGTGTGTGTGCTGGGGTGTGGGGGCTTTCCTGGGGCCATGCAGCCCTGCAGCCTGGGCAGCACTGGGATGAGGTGACAGCAAAAGGCGTCCCAGCACCTGGGGACACACCTTAGCCCCACTCCGGCCCCTTTCCAAGGAAAGGGCACCTTACTGACCCTCATCCTTTTTCACTTGCAGAGCTGAAGATCCCCGACAACGCCAACGTCTTCTACGCCATGAACTCTGCTGCCAACTATGACTTTGTGCTCAAGAAGCGGGGCTTCTCCAAGGGGGTGAAGATCAAGCATGGCTCCAGCTCCACCCTGCCCAGGATGAAGCAGAAAGGCCTGAAGATCGCCAAGGGCATCTTCTAGCCTCAGCCCCACTGCCACCCATCACCGACGGGGCCTTGGGGGCAGCTGCTCCGGGCTTGGCTGTGGCCACTCCTCGTGCCACCCTGCAGGGCAGAGGAGTGACCCTCACCCACGGGCGACGGCCGTGCACCTCCCTTCCGCACCCAGAGCTGAGAGTTGGGCAACTGGCGTCGGCCTCTGCCTCTCTCTGCACAAGCCCCCATTCCAATCAGGTCTTTTTTTCTACACAGGAAGGCAGCAGTGGGGGGGATTTGTCTATTTTTTGTTTTGTTTTGTTTTTTTAACCTTGTCTGGTGCGACACTCGGCCAGCCCGGCCAGCCCAGAGCTGGAGCCCGCCTCTGCCGTAGGTGCCTTGTGTCTGAGCGAGCCGAGGAGCAGTGACTTGCAGAGGGGCTGTGTGACAGAGCAGAGCAGGAGCCACCATCACCCTGCCGTAGGTGCCTTGTGTCTGAGCGAGCCGAGGAGCAGTGACTTGCAGAGGGCTGTGTGACAGAGCAGGAGCCACCATCACCTTGGAAGGGGCTGCCAAGCCTCCTTCCCAGCTTTCCCAGTGTTACCTCCACGTCTGTCCTCCCTGGGATCACTGGCGTTGCCACCACCGCACAGCTCTGCCTGTCCTTTCCTTGGGAGAAGCCACGGATGCCCTGGGCTGGGAGGTGAGCTGGAAGGATGCAGCCCTGCACCAGTGCTGAGCCCCGTGGAGGAGCCTGTGGCTGTGCTATGATGGAGTGGGTGCCTCGTGCTCTCCCCAGCTGGAAGCCTGCGTGGTCTCGCTCCTCTCCCGATCCAGCACATCCTCCAGCTGGACTGGGCCAGTTCAAACTTGCACCAAAGATCAAATGCCAGTGTCTCTTCTGCCAAGGGGGAGCTTCGGGCCGTGCCCCCAGCGCTGCCAGCCTGAGGAGGAGGAGAGCAAAGTTCTGTGTGAAACTGTGTAAATAGAGACTTTGGGTCTGTGTGGGCACGTGAGGGGCCGGAGAGCTCAGGGTGCTCCAGGTGCCCCAGCTGCCACTGCCTGACCCGCAGAAAGTGCCACTCACCTTGGGCTTTAACCGGACATTTTCAAACACTGACCATGGGAGAAGCAGCAATGAGACTTTTTTTTTGTATAAAACAAAAAAGTTTACTGATTTTTTTTTTTTTCAGTATTTATTGGTTGTAAATAGAAGAGGCAAACTTGTACATTTTACTAATCCAGCCTCCCCCTGCCCTGCAGCCCAGTCCCTGTCCTGTGACCCCTGGTATTTAAGGCTGCTGGGAGGGATGCTGGCTCATGGGGTGCAGACCCTGCCAGCCCTTCCTCCCAAATTCTCTACCACTAATTGCTCGAGCAGGGGCAGAGATGCTTCTTTTAATCATTGTAGGAAACACTAACCAAAGGGGGCCTTTTGTTGCTCCTGCCTCCATCTCTGTTTTTTAAGCGCGTCATTCCAGCAGATCTTTTCCGTTTCCCATCCGCCAGCGTTCCCAGGTGGTTGTGGTGCCTTCCCCTGCTCCAGGACAGGAACCACCCTCCAGGGGCTGGGGCTGGTGAGGAAGAGGCTGCTTGGGTGTGAGTGTGGCTGGCACGGAGCTCCTCCAGCCCTGTGGCCCCTCGGGCAGCGCTGCCCGTGATGCACATGATGGGAGCTCCTGGCTCCTTGACGCAGGGGCAGCCTCCTGCCTCCCCCCTTCCCTGGGCACCAGCACCCCTGGGAAGGTGTTCCCTCTGCTCCGTGCCTGCCCACCCTGGGACTGTCCCCTCCCCTCCCACTGGGGGGACTGGCTGTACCGTTATGTATTTTGTACCACTTCAATGAAGGAGCACACTGCCCGGTGTGACTTGTACACAGCAATGTAATTAGTCTTTGCAATAAAATACTGATGCTCAAACGTCTCTGCCCCAAGGCAGGGCTTGTCTTGTCTTCCCCAAAATGCCAGCACCTTCCTGGAGAAAGAGGGATGGGCCTGACTGTGAGGGAGTTCATACTTTATGTTTACTCTGGTGGGTTGAACTTTGTTTTGAAAAATAGGCTTTTTGGTTGAGGGACCAGGGCTCAATTTTGAAATTAACATCATTCCTTTTGACCTGTGAATTGAAACTGTTGCATTTTGCAATTACACTTTGTTTGGTTTATCACTTTTGTTACAAGTGACAGCTTTAAAAGCAACTGTAACAGCCCACAGGGCCTCCTCAGTGGAGGAGAAGAGGTGGTCTTAACTCCTTTTAAAAAAGAAAGCTTGGCTTTCAGGTGCGCTCAGAACACACAGGGGAATGCAAAAGATCTGAAAAATGCCAGTAGCTCTTTAATTTTTGAGGCTTTCTTTTGGTGGGACCAGTGCAGCTGGCAGTGGCCAACTTCTGTGCACCTGAAGCTCTCCCCCTCTGCCAGCTGCTTTCAGTCCTTGTCACCTGCTAGCTGGGGAAGTCAAAACTGACCTGAGAAGTGTATCAGGTAATGAAGACAACAAACACTACATCCCAGGAAGGGAATTATTCACTGCCAGAAAGTGTATTTTCCTGGTGGCTTTATTTCCAAGATGATCAGCAAGGCTCAGTGCTGAAGGCATAGCTCAGTATTTTCATTCCCTCTGGACAAGCAGAAGGGCAGAACCTGCTTAGGGACTTCAGCAGCACTGGACTGCTTCTTCTCCCAGCACCTCCTCAGGCACCTTTTCTATTTTCCACATGGCCACCAGCCTGGAGAGAGTGCACTCCCACACATGGAGAGATTTGGGAATAGAGCTTCTCCCATGTTCTGGTGTGTTGCCATCTGGTTTGGATTCTGGGCTCACTCTTGGGAGTTTGTTGAGCTTGCTGGAGGGTTTCTCAGCCAGCAATTCTGAAAATGCAGGCAGTGGCTCCCAAACTTCCAGAATGCTGCCCACCAGCAGTCAGTGCAGAGAGAACATCATCAGCTTATACAAGCTCTGCTTTCCCAGATCCTGATGCTGAACCCTTGGCTCTCAAGGAGCAAGAGCAGAGATAGTTCTGTCCACAGCAGCCACACTGCTCACTGAGTTCACACATAGTCCAGAATTTCTGTCTCCATTTCATTTTCACTCCCATCAGAAGGCTTGAAGTCCTCTTCCTCCTCCTCTTCATCATCCTCATCCTCTCCAGACTCATATGCCAGCTGTTCTTTGCCATCTTCGTTGCTTGTTGTATTTGAGAAAAGAGCTTAAATTGGGAAGAAAGAAAGACACTGTGATGCCTCTCTCAGTGCAACCTGGGGGCATTTGCAATTGAGTTACAGAACATGTGAGAGGAAGGCAGCAGCCTCAGGAGCACAGCTAATACTGCACATCTTAACAGAATCTGATCAAGCCCAGAGCAATCTATCTCCACAGTCCAGGAAGGAGAGCAGAACAGCAGAAGAGCTGCAGTGCTGTGCCTCCTCTCCTGCCTCATTCTGACCCAATTCACTGGGATGTTATTGTTTTGGCCCAGCATCATGAAGAAATAATTTCCTCACTTCTTGGTCGAGCAATAATATCAATAAAAAATAAAATGCCACCAACAGATATATCAGTCAGAATTAAAATCTTGATTATCACTTGCAAAAGGTATTTAAAAGCTGAAGGGCTGTTGATACTGGGAAGAGTAAATAAAAAACCTTAACTCCCAGCCATCCCTAATACCAACCCACATTCCCACTGCCGGCCAGCAGCCTCAGCTCCTACACTGGAATGAGCTACATCCCAAAGAACACACAGAGGATGCAGGAACACTTCTGAAGCCTCAGTGCCAACTACAACATCCTCATGTTCAAAGCATCCTTACCAGGTCTGGTGGATCTGATGATCTGCTTTATCATCAGGGACATGCTATCCCTGAGGTCATCACTTGTCTTGGCAAGGCACCACCCATCCCGCTCCGTGCACTCTGACTCCGTGCCGTCATTCCGATGGATGATCTTCTGCAGGCTAAAGAGCAGCAAAAGGGAAGGAAACATTAATCTTCTGCACTCAGGAGTGAGTTTCAAATGAGACACATTGGTTTACTTCCACTTCCCTTCACTGAGCTGGAATAGCACAGTTGGTTATCCAGGTAATTGTCAGATGGGAAAGGAAGTTCACGTGTGAAAAAACTTTTCTGTTTTTATTGAGCAACTGAACACCTCTGATGTTCCTGCTCAGGGGAAGAGGGGTGAATGGACAGGGTGTAAACAACAGGCTTTGAAATCTGTCTCTAAGTAAGACTCAGCTGTCAGAGTGCAGTACCTTTCCACATTTAAGTCACAGAGCTGGTAGAACATCTGGCGGTAAGGGGGCAAGGCTCCTTCTCGGAAAATGTAGACGGATTCCTGAGAGGAGGAAAGAAGGAAAGGATTCATGTGCATTTTATGCTGTAATGAAAGTACTCCCAATGGGCTGATTCAAGAACATGGTACTGCCAAGAGAAACAAGTTTTAAGGCATACATCTGTATGTGGCAGAAGATAAAGCTGAATGAGGACTGCCCCAAAGTGTCCTTGCAGCCACAGTGACACCAGCACTGCTGTGCAGAGCACTCTTCACCTCTCCAGCCTGAAGCTCTGTCTGCAGCCTGTCACTGCCTAGCAGTGCATCATGGGCTTCATTCTAGCAAAAAAAGGAATAGTAAGACTCATTTATTTATTTATTCCACCCTGTTGGATTTTGCAGCATGACCTGATAAAGACATGGTGATTTTTTTGCACTTCGCTGCCCATGAAGTTCCAATTTTATCAATTGAAACAAAATACTCCTCACATCTATGATGAGGGTGGAAAGCACCAATCCCACCTTGCAGCATATAACAAAATACACTCAGGTGGTGTTTTCCATAGTGCCATATCCAACTGGGAGCTTCCCAGGCAAACCTGAGCACATCAACTCACTCACAGCTCATCCCTTGATGACTGATAAGCCAGGAATCATCCCTATTTCACCAAGATATTTCAAGATTTTGGTATACAAAGTAATGCTTACCTTCAGCTTATACCTGCTGGAGGGGGGCTTTTTTGCCCCAGAGGTACCAGCTGAACCCAGCCCCTGTTTCAGGTCGTGGACACTGACTGTGTGACTTCCTGAAAGGAAAACAAAGAGTCTTAATAAGGGACATCCTTCATATTGGACTGTCACTTCTCTCTGTTGATTCAACAAAACCAGACCAACCAGCAACAGAGCATGTGCTCATTTTTCAGAGATGTTACTGGACAGTCCCAGGAAAAGTGCTGACTTGGGCAGCTTTTTCCAGAGCCCATTTGTTCACAATTTTAACATTGTCTACTCTCCTTTGACATAGAAAAGAGAACTCCCCCATTCTCTGCATCTCTGATGCAGAATTCTGATGTGAATTCTGAATTGCCAGTGTGGCTTGCAGAACTCCCTCCTGCCTGCTAACAGACATTATGGCTCAGCCAGACTCCCACAATACCACCCAGCAGATTTTTCTCTGGCTTAACGGCCAGAAAACAAGCTCTAGTTTTGGCTCAGCTAGAACACAGGAAGACCCCTCACCACCTGTGACTAGGATGGGGCAAACAGAGAAGCAGAAGAGCAGGGCAGCCCTCCTGGCCCAGCATACCTTGTTTCTTGACAGTGATGGGCAGGCTGTAGTTGTACGTGCTGCGTTTTGCTTTCACAGGCATGTCAGTAGCAGCATAACCTAGAGGTGAAAACCAAAATCCAGTCATGAACTGAGGGCAAGCACTCTGCAGAATATCCCCAGCTCAGGAACACAAGGACTGGACTGGTGTGGGAAGGGCAGGCTGGTCTTTGGGACATGCTGGTTTTCGCAGGCTGGGGAGAAGAGATAACAAAGCCCTTTAACTTGGAAATGTGATCTGATGTCAGTAAGTGGATGCCAGCTCTGTCATATACTTATTAGATGGCATCAGAAACTCCTTTTCCTCAACTTGTCCTTTGCAAAATCAAAACAGGGAACCCCATATCCAAGGTCAGAGACCAGCATCCTGCAGGAAATGCTGAGGTCCTTGAGGAAAAGCTGCTATGTGAGCACCAGAATTCCTGCTTGGTGCCTCCCCTGAGTGAGGAGGAGGATGCTCTGCTACACCCACTTGGGCTTGGAACACATGGAGGAGGAAAGGCAGAGCTTAAAATGTGCCAAATGAGGAAAGAGCTATTGCATACTATGAAAGAAAGTATGACAGGAGTTTTAAAAAGAACTACAGTAAGCAAGGAGCTCAAAAGGTGACATGTTCATTAGAGCAGATATATGGCAAAAGAGTTTGAAAAACACATAAAAAGAAAAATACTACCAGGATTAACCAGAAAGCAGAGAGAGCAGCTCTGTGGGTTGGGCCCTTTTACCATATTTCATTCCACAGCGAATTCGGAAGTCCAGCACTTGATAAATCTTTGCTTCAGGGTGTTTTCTGGGGTCATACCCAAACCTAACCCATAAGCTTCTCCAAGGACCTGTTAACTGCACAAACACATGAGGGAAGATGGTTACAAAAAAGCACCACAATGTTTCAACTTCCTTCAGTAGCAAGGTCCTTGGAAAGTTCTAATATTTTCCCTCACTGCCCAAAGATATTTGTTTTACCAGCTCTTTGCTCACTTGCCATGCCAATATTTATACACCAAAATACATTTATACACTTGGCAATCAAAGCATCAAAGCACAAATATTTGTGTGCTTTTACAAACCAATCTGCAAGGTGACAGCCAAGTGCTTGTGTGGAAAAAACTATGCTACCACTGCCAGGTGGACAGTCACTTGGAGTGCCTGCCTGACCTGCAGAGGTGATTAAAACCTATGGAGCAAACAGTCACTGAATCCTCCTTGGCTTCAACTTTGGTTCTAAAGCATTTCCTTCCCCCTGTCTCAGGTACTTAGCAGTCACTTGGAGTGCCTGCCTGACTTGCAGAGGTGGTTAGAACCCATGGAGCAAACAGTCACTGAATCCTCCTTGGCTTCAACTTTGGTTCTAAAGCATTTCCTTCCCCCTTCCCAGGTACTTAGTGGCAGGACCTCAGAAGTGGTAAAGGACCAGGAAGAGCCAGGTGATGCTCCCTTGCTCCCAGATGTACCACTCACCATGTAATAGGCCAAATAGGGCAGCAGCACCTTCAGCTTGTCTGGATGGACACTGATATTGGCTTTGACTGCATTGCGAGACCACACGGGACGCACTTCAAAGAGCTGCAATGACACACAGACAAGCACACAGCGGTGGGAAGGGGCTCCCAAAGGCACAGCAGCTTTCCAAGTGGACTCAGGTCCATATCAGGCCCTTTGGCCCTCAATAGGAGCTATTGGGATGGTGAGAACTCGTGGCACAAAAAGGGGCTTAAATGTTAATGTGAGTCAAGCCACAGATTCAAAGCTTGACTTGCAGAACTGAAATGATCACAGCAGTGTCACCAGCATCTACTCACACCTGTATCAGGCACTTACAATCACCAAGAATTTCTGGGAAAAATGTACTTTTTCCTCCCCAGCTTGCTGCAGGACAATGCTCAGACCAGCAGTAAGGCACACACCTTTCTCAGTTCTTCCTCCACCTTTTTATCCACAGGGTTGGTGCACACTTTCTTCCAGTTCTGTACAGCAGCATCCAGGGGTTTAGTTGGGACTTCTTCATCATCAAAGTTGACAAAGATGGCATTGTGTGGGCGCCTGGCCCTGCTGAGGCCAATCAGGTTCTCACCAGACACCTGGGGATTGTTGTATCCCTCCCTAAGGAACAGGGAAACACAAAAGGGACTCAGCTGGGTGAGCAATGGGTTGGTTTAACTTTGGCTCAACCTCCCTTGATAACACACTGGTACCATAAAAGACTCTCATGGAACCACTGAAGAAAGAAAGTTTAAATTTAAATTAATCCCAATACTTCTAAACTACATCCATTTGCACACTGACAGAGGAGCTCTGCCCTCACTGGCAGAAAACCCTCCAGCACTCAGGAATGTGTGAAACTGTATGAAATGTGTTGGAAAGGATTCACCCTCTGCATTTGCTCTCTTGGAGCTGCTGCAGCTACTCACTGGGACAGGGGCAAAGCAAGAGGGAACTGCAGCTACTCACTCAATCTGGAAATTTCATTTAAAAAGTGCCGGTGAAGGCCAACAGTGAGAAAATGAAAGATGTTTCTTGTGGGAGATCTCCCAGATTGTTCTTCTGGCAAAGCCAGCTGGGGCCAGGAGAGCACAGGAGCACATGGCATCGATCCCTGGAAACCCTGCCCTTGGCCCTGCTCCTCTGGAAGCAGGCAGGAGCTGTGTCCTGCATCCCATAATGTGTGAGGTGAGCTGGGAGAGGCATCATCTCCACCTCATGCCCAGCTCCCCATACCTGGAAAATCCTCAAGTGGAATTTTGCTGAGGTTGCCACTGCCAGGCAGCTGCTGGTGGTTTTTTTGCCTCTGTTGTGCCAAATCAGCAAAAGGCAGCAAATTAAAAGGGTGAAACACATGAAAGATGTATCATGAGAAAAGGCACTGACCTGTGCTGTATATCTGGGCGATAAAAATAGTCCACAGGAGTGTCCAGACGTGAGAAAATGGGTGGTGGGATGTAAAGAGGTAAATCTCTATTGAAAAACTCCTCCTTCTCTGGTTTGAGCATCAGGACTTTGTCATACATGGAGGTTTGTTTGCCATCAGGGCCAGAGTGCATTGCCAGGTACTGGAAGTCAGACATTCCTGTAAGAAACAAAAGTTAAAACATGGTGAAGTTTGCTGTGAATCCAACAATACTTCTCACACTCAACTTTCAGGAGCAGGAGTCTGACAAGGTTATGCAAAGGTTTCTCCAGCAAGGAGGCTGCAACAACACTTGATTTCCCTTCCAGTCCTCAACTGCTTAGGGGGAAACACTTCCCTTTCCCATCAAACACACTCACCTCTAAGCCACCTGCACACAATCCCAAAGGTTACCTTGAAACTTGTAAACAGTGGTGACAATCCCAAGAATCTCCATCTCAAACTGGACTTCTGGCTGGCTTTGTTCCTCGGGGTCCAACTGCTGCCTCCTCCTGGTCCTCCTCCTGACCCTGAGCAGCATGGTGGAGGTGGGGAAGCGGTTGGCACACACGGGGTGGCAGTAGGGGTCCTTGGGGCGGAAATACAGCTCCAGCCTTTTGGCAGGGTCGGCGTAGATCTGTCAGCAAGGTGGGCACAGCCCCTGTCAGCATGCCACCCACGCAGCCTGTGCCCCTGTGCCAGCCCCACCCGCTGCTGTGGGCACTGCCTGTTCCCCTCACACAGCCCCAGGGGGATCATTCCTGCCCCACATCACAGGGGTGTGCAGCCACTCACAGCCTGGCTGGCAGGAAAAATAAATTAAAAATATAATAGTCTGGATATGAGGAAGAAATTCTTCCCTGTGAGGGTGGGGAGGCTCTGGCACAGGCTGCTCCATCCCTGGAAGGATAGGTTGGACCAAGCTGGTCTAGAGAAAGGTGCCCCTGCCCACAGCAAGAGGGTGGAATTGAATGAACTTATGGTCCCGCCCCACGCCCCCCGGCCTCCCTCACCCGCGACACCCCCTGCTCTCCTCCCAGCGTCCTCAGCATGGCCCCGACATCCCGGACGAGCCCCGGGTACTCCACGCACACCAAGCGCGGGGCGCGGGGCAGCTCCAGCACGGCCGAGCCCCGCGGGCCCCGCTGCCGCGCCGCCGCCATCGCTGCCGCGCCGCTCCCTGCCCGCGCCGCCCCGCGGGCCGCGGCACGAAGGTTCCGCCGCACGAAAGTTCCGAGGGCGGCCCGGCCGGGCGAGGCCTGTGGGGAGGGCGAGGCCTGGGGGCGACCTGAGCTCGTCCTGTTCTGCTTGGGGCTCCTCAGCCCAGCTTGTGACCACAAACATATACAGAATCACCTCCCGCGTGGGTTGTTTCGTCCCTGTCCTGCCTGGATAATGAGGGAAACAATCCTGAGCTGAGCAAATGTTTGCGTGCAGCCGAACATTTCTCTGATCACGCAAGGAATGCGGTGTTAATTCTCATTGAAACAAGCTTTTGCTTCCTAAGAACTTCAGCCTTCATCTCGGCAATGTTTAACGCCACAAAAGGTGGTAGATGAAGGATATGAAGGTGAGGGTGAGAATATAATTTGCCGCAAGGACATCTTGGCCAGGACTGACTGTCACAGGCAGGGCAACGCGCGCTGCCCTCAGGATGTTCCATCCTGCCTGACCTTGACATCAGCGAGAAAACTCTGTCACAGCCAACACAGAGAAACACAAAACAGAGAAACAGAGCCACTCAGCTACCAACAAGCCTTTAATGATCTCTAAAAGATGTTTTTTTTCCCTGCTCCTCTGGAAGCAGGCAGGAGGATGGTTCTACTGCAGGGGCTCCCTGACCCTGGCTCTCCCCAGGGGTGGGCTCCCCATCCTCTGACCTCTCTGCATGGAGAACCTCAACACACACACCAGGGTCCCATCCCCTGTGACACCCTGTGCTCTCCTCCCAGCATCCACAGCCCTGATGTCCCACACCAGCCCTGGGTTCTCCACACCAGCCAGGCCTGGGGGGCAGTTCCAGCACAGCTGGGCCCCCCTGCTCTCCTCACAGGGTAGCAGGGCCTGGACAGACCAGGTCCAGTGTATGGTGTGTGGATGAGGACATGTGGTGGACAAGGTTCGTAGAAAGCTGTGCTCCTTGTCCTGCCCTGCTCAGAGCTGCAGCTTCTCAGCCCAGTCCAGCCCAACCTCTGCCCCAAAACCAGTGGGGAATCACCACCCCCATGGATTTATTCTGCCTCATCAGTTCCTGAGCAATGTCAGTGCATGATAAACAGCAGGTCAGGGCTGGTTTCCATTCACCTGTTGCAGCTGTAGCTCTCTATGATCTGGCTGGCAGTAGCAGGAGCCTTGTTGGTGGCACAGAGAAATCCAGAGGACAGGTGAGGATTGGGGCTGTCCTGCCTGGGCTCACAGGGGCAATGAGGAAAAACAACCCCAGGGCCAACAGCTGGCTGAGCAGGGAGAGACTGGACTCCAGCAGATCCCTGGGACAGTGGGGTGTCACAGCCAGGGGAACACACAATGGATGCCCACAAAATGGATGTCCTTTCCTGCCTGACCTTAATGTTGGCAAGAAAATCCTGTCATGGCAAACAAAATGAGAACCAGAGTCACTCAGCTACAAGCCTTTAATGCACTGTCTTTAAAGGTTCAGAACATTAACTCCGACTGGGAGATGTTGGCAACCTGCGGCAGCTTCAGGTAGACCGAGTTCCAGAAGGTCACAAACCGGGACCTCAGGTCCTGCTTCACAGAGTTCTTGTTCATCTTGTGGTTGATATCCAGGTAAAACTTGCCATTGTTGGTGTAGGCTGGCCAGGAAACAGGCACGTCTGAATGCCCTTTGTTAGGATCACTGGGGAAAAAGGAGACACAGAAGCTCAGTTTCATCAGGCAGCTTGAGGATGCAGTTTAATGCATGACCATGCAGAGTGTTTGCACTGGGAGAAGCAACAGGACTTCTGCCTGCCAGCAATGAGTGGATGACCCTCCATCTCTACTGGCATCATGCCAGCTTCAGACAGGGACTTGTGTCCTGCCTGAACACAAGGATTCAGCAGTAAAACTCATCAAGTGGAAGCAGAGATCATAAGTCATGAAAATGCCTCTGCCTTCCCCAAGTGTGCCATGGATGAGGAGAAGCCAGAGCAATCTCCAGCCCCATTAGACACAGAGCCCTGCTCACAACACAAAGACAGAGAACTTCCTGAATGCCCTTTGTTAGGATCACTGGGAATAAAAGGAGACACAGAAGCTCAGTTTTGCAGATTTTGGTAGAAGCCCTGTCTGTTCAAGTCAGGCTTTACGTGAGAGGAAAAGAGAGAATCAAACAGTGGGAGAAGCAATAGGAATTCTGCCTGCCAGGAATGAGTGGATGACCTGCAGTCTCTTCACTCCATCTCTACTGGCATCATCCCAGCTTCTCAAAGGGACTTAAATTCTGTATGAACATTGAGATTCAGGAATAAGAAATACAGACATGGGACACTCTGATTTTGGGAATGATCCTGAAAATTTCCTGGACAAAACCAGCAGCCTGAAGGGCTGCGTCAAGCCCCAAATGTGGAATGGAAATCACTCACCCAGTCCTGTGATCCTGAAAAGTTACTGGACAAAACCAGCAGCCTGAAGGGCTGCATCAAATCACAGATCACTCACCCAGTTCTAGCAAAATTGGTCCAGTAAGCAATCATGGCCTTTGAGAGAGTCCTGTACTTAGGCCAGTAGCCCAGAGGAGTGGCAAAGGGCTTCCCAAACACGTACTGCAGGTCATCAGCATGGTCTGCACCCACCCAGCGCGGGTAGATGGGCATGCGGGATGGCTCGGAGAACAAGTAGCTGTAGGTCTTGCCACTCCTGGGAAATCAAAGAGACTGGCTTTAAGCAAGGAGAAAGCAGAAAAAGGGCTGCAAATCCCAACCAACACTCCAAATACTGTCAGGGCCACAGATTCAGAATTGGAAGATGCTCACATGCATAATCTCATGTTGGGTGGTTTCAGGAGAAAATATCCTGAGGCCATTTTTAACTTCCATTTCCAATTCTCACCCTAACCCTCCTCCATGTGCAACAACCCCAGGGCTGAGCTGCTCACTTGGCATTCTGCAGGTGCAGATCCAGTGCCACCTGTGTGGGAATCAGGAAGATGTAGTCAGTGATCAGGTCCACCACTGTCTTCTTCACGACCTCCTGCTCGGGTTTGTCACCCCAGCTCTGTGTGTAGATGTTGTAGGTGGCATTGGCTCCAGCCTCGCCCCTGTCCACGGTGAGGCCTTTGACCAAATTGTACACCTGGTTACTGAAAAGACAAATGATATTCATCAATTACTGACCAGCAGCTTCAGGTAGGGCAGAGCTCTTGCCTGATCCTTTCTCTTGAAGGCTCTGGACTCGGTAACAAAAGGCCTGGGCACTTAAGTCTTGGAGTGACATCCTGTGTGGAAGGTTGTGCCCTGTCCACTCAAGTCTGACTCTGTGGGGTTTGGGAGCTACACTGAGGAGCAGATGTCTCCTGCTGAGGGTTCTGAGGGCATCTGTCACTCACACAGTGACCTTCACCAGCGGGCGGTTGATGGCGGGTAAATCCACACCAGCGAAGATGTGCCCGTCCATGTTATTGACCCCAGCCAGGTAGTCGATGTCGGCAGCGTTGGCAAAGAGCTTCTCTGGCACGTCTGGGAGGAAATCCCCATCCACAACTGGAGAGAGGGCGACAGTGTGCGCCATGGGTACTGCAAGAGAAAAGAGCCGGGTCTGTTAGGAGGTGACGAAACACAGATGTGTGCTCTGGCATATCCCAGGACTCAAAGAGCTCAGGAAAGAGCAGGTCCAGGTGGATGACAGCTTGAGCAGTGACTTCAGCATGGGCTGGAGGTCACCCAGATGCAGGATAAACCTCATGACTAGGGCTGAAGGAGAAGAGCAAGAGATCTGCCAGCCAAACACCACCTGGTAACATCCACAAATCCTCTCCTTCTTCAAATCCCTTCCCAAAAACCCAGCCAAAGATAGGAAAGAGCTGGACTTCTCATCCCACCTGGCCATGCTGTCTGATTGTCAGGACAGCCAGCCCAGAGTATGCAGTTGCACGGCAGGATTTTGGCCACTCTCTCTTCTGACCAAGGCTAAACGCTCTGGTTTGTGACCAGAAGCTCCAGGAGAATCTTCTTGGGAAAGGAATCCCTACAGGCACAAAAGCAGCAGCGTTCCTGCACTCCACCCAGCGACTCAAATAGAAATAGCAGGGGTATGATCTTTTTTGTTCATTTGTTTGTTTACAAGCTGTTTTTAGGGATTGCTCTTGCTGCTTTCACAGAACAGGAAGCCCAAACAGTTGCTGTGAGGCCAAGGCAATGTCATTCGATAATCCCTCTGCCACTGCTGCCATTGCATGGTGGGCAGTGTTCATCAGGTGCAATGTGCATCTGCCCACAGAAAGGTGACTGCAAGAGCTCTCATTAATGTCCCTTTTCTGAAGGGCACAAGCACCACCACAACACTCCTGGCAGTTGCTCCAGAGTCCTGCCAAGAGCTTGGGGAGCTCAGGATTGTTGATGGACCACATTATGGGCTGGGGGACTTACTGGGCAGGTGGGTGAGCTGCAGGTGGTAGGACAGAGTCAAGTCCTTGGGACTGGAGTGGCGCAGGCAGTTGGCCAAGACGGTGGTGTTGTCTGTGGAGCAGCCCACCTTTTCTCCAAGCTGTGGCAGAAGAGAGAAACATTCTAGCATTAGCTCCCAAAGGCAGGGGTTATTGTTAAAGAGGCAGAACTGTGAGTTGGTTTTAATCTCAAAGCAACAACTTTGCACAGCTCTGTTGGGCAAGCTCCTGCCCAATCCCTTCTGACACAGGCTCTCCTCTAGGGAATAGGTTTTTTTTCTTTTTATAGTTATGCAGGCATGACTTTGCACATTACCTTTTTGGCCCAGACGAGCGGGTCCCTCTGGATGGCCCAGCCGCAGACCCCAACACCACTCTGGCTGATGGCTCTCTTGAACAGACCCTTGTTCTTTGGGGACAGCGTCTGGGGGGCAAAGCAGAAACAAGAGGGGTTTGGGTAACAACTCTTGAGGAAACCATGGCCTGACAAAACAGGTGGATGGCCTTGCGGGTCTTGCACCAGTCCCAGGGAAGCTGCCTGGTCATGAGGTGTTCAAGAGTCTCAGGAGTTAAAGTTAAAAAGTAAGCTGTTGAGAAGAGGAGCAGAGGAGGGGGATATGGAAGGTAAAGGCTGTTCTTCAAAGGACATGTGGCTGCACTGCTGGGACTGATGAAGCTGAAGCAGGAGGATCAGCTACAGAGCACTGAGGCTGAGCATTGCTGTGCTGGCCAGGGCAGGAGGTTAATGAGGCAGCGGTGGGGAGGAAAGCAGATGAGTGCCAAGGGGTCCCTCTCTCCCACTGACAGAGCAGGGGCTCTGATCAGAACCAAGGAGGACCATTCACCTGCAGGGAGACACTGGCGCCACCGGCCGACTCCCCAAAGATGGTGATGTTGTCCGGGTCACCCCCAAAGGCCTTGATGTTCCTCTTCACCCAGGCAATGGCCATGTGCTGGTCCTTGAGCCCGTAGTTCCCTGAGGGACAGAGGTCACTCGGCAGTGAGCAGGGGCACAGCCGAGCACTCGGGACAGAGCCCCAGGGAGGGATCGGCCGTGCTACCTGGCAGGTTTTCGTCCCCGGTGCTCAGGAAGCCCAGCGGCCCCACGCGGTAGTTGATGGTCACCACGATGACGTTGCCCCGCACGGCGATCTCCTCCCCATCGTACAGGTAGTTGTGAGCATCGCTCCACCTGCCCTGGGCAGGAGCTGACTTGATGCTCTGCAGGAAAATCCTTGCTCTGCTCAAGAGGCTGACCCTCCCAACGGGGTGAAGGTGAGGTAGGATGTTGTCTGAGACAGTTCCCACCTTTCCCCCTGAAAATCCCTGCTCAGCACCTGCCCACTATGGAACAGAACTGCCGAGAGAGGCTCGGCACAAGCTGTGCACACAAGGCAGGTGGGTGAGTCCATCCCAGGTCCCTGCCAAGCTCATACCCTGTTTTCTCCCTTGAGGGACCCAGATGTTCAGGTAGAGACAGTCCTCACTCCCACGGACATCAGTCTGTGTCAGCGTCACCTGCATGCAACGTTTTTTGAATTCTTTTGCCTTCAGAGTTCCTGAAAGGAAAGAGGGAACACCACGGCATCAGCTCCATTTTCTGGTTGCAAGGTGTCTGCTCATTCATTCTTTCCCCTCTGAGTGCAGTGCAGTGCAGCAAAGCCTCCCCAGCCATTGTGACCAGTCTGAGTAATATGTTGTAACATTTCCCATATGTGCCAGATTGAAGAGACAGAAGTGAAAATAAAGCCCCAAACCAAAGGCATTCAGAAGCTGGACCTTACCATCCCAGCCAGGATGAGGCTGGGGGTCTTCCAGAGTCTTTGGAGGGGCAGCAAAGGGAATCCCTCTGAAGATGTCAACGTAGCTCCCAAAGAGTCCCAGTTTCTTGCTCTCGCCTTCCACAAATCCTCCCTCAGTGAACACCACACCCAGCTACAGGAGGAGAAAGGAAAATCAATTTCTCTGTCCTTCAAAACTCTGGCTTCCCACACTGCCATTCATTCCCATCCCACCCTCCCCATCCCTGCCCTCGGTGCCTTGTGGAAAGGCCACAGGTGCCACCGGAGCTGGGTCTGGGCAGGTGTCCTGCAGGTGCCCTTGGGAGCAGAGAGGCAGCAGCAATTCCCCCACAGTCCCAAAGACAAATGGCAGGAGGAGAAAACCTTCATCTTTAGGGTGCAAAGCTAGCCTTTGTACTTACAGTGGCAGCCCAGGCTACCCCGAGGTAGGAGCACAGGGCCAAGGCCAGGATGTGCCAGCGAGCCATGGTGAGGGCAGCTCTGAGGGGACAGTCCCAGCTGGAGGGCTGTGTTTATAAAGCCACGAGTGCAGGTGTGTGCCAATGCCATGGGCCAGGCTTGGCTCAGAGCTAAAGCAGGGCAGCCTCCACAACCTTGTCCTTCAGTAGCCTCTCCACGTCTGATGGACATGGTCGTGTGAGAGCCCTGCAGGTGCTGCTTGTTTGGGCTGGAGGCCAAACCAAAGGAAATTGCTCAGTCCTAGAAAACTCCAGAGAAATTATTCCCATTGGAGTCTTGAGAAGCCTCATTCAAGCAAAGGGGGCTGAAATCATATTAAGCTGTGCAGTAGAACATATTATCAGCAACCTGTGAGAAGCCTTGCATTCATAACACCCTCGGGAATGAAAAAGATTCAAAATGACAGGAAGTCTTAAAGTTGATTTGATCCAACAGCAGCCAGATTGCTCATCGAGTTCACACATAGTCCAGAATTTCTGTCTCCATTTCATTGCCCCCTCTATCAGAAAGCTTGAAGTTTCCTTCCTCCTCATATCTCTGCAGGCTCATGGCAGCAGCTCTTTGACATCTTCACTCCTTGTTGTGTTTGTCAGAGAGAGAGGGGAATGGACAGATACAAACAATAGCTTTGAAATTTATCTCCAACAGAAAACTCATCTGTCAGTGTACAATACCTTTCCACAGTTAATCCCAGAGCTGGTAGAACATCTGTTGATAAGAGAAACAAAGAATGAAAGGATTCTTGTGAATTTTATGGTGAAATGAGAGTCTTCATAGGAACATGCAAAAATGGAGTTTGTGTTCCAGCTTTTAAAAAGGGACTCAGCTGGGTCAGCAATGGGTTGGTTTAACTTTGGCCCAACCTCCCTTGATAACACACTGGTACCATAAAAGACTCTCATGGAACCACTGAAGAAAGAAAGTTTTAAAAATCCATTCAAAGCTACATCCATTTGCACACTGACAGAGG